TAGCAGGAAGTTCATTTTCAGGATTTATCTCAATCAGGAACATTGCCTTTTCTATTTATAATTATTTATTTTTTTATTATTATTTTTATTAGGGCAATAGTATCAGTCCTGGATTACTCAATGCTCTAACAAAGAAAAAATAATTGCTCCAGCCAACAACAGAATACAATAAAATAAAGTAATAAAAGTTTTATTTTATTTTTTTTTAAAGAAATTATATGATAACTTGTATAGTGGTATATATTTTATTCTGTATCTCTCTCTCTCTCTCTCTCTCTCTCTATATATATATATGTATGTGTATGTATATATATTTATGTATGTATATTCCATTGATGTATGGTTTGTTAGGACAATGTTTGGCCGAGATACTACTATTTGAGAATCTGAGGGTGCAAAAAAATCAAAATATTGAGAAAATCGCCTTTAAAGTTGACCAAATTAAGTTCTTAGCTATGCATATTACTAATCAAAAATTTAGTTTTGATATATTTACGTTAGGAAATTGACTAAATATCTTCATGGAACATGATCTTTACTTAATATCCTAATGATTTTTGGCATAAAAGAAAAATCGATAATTTTGACCCGTACAATGTTGTTTTTTGGCTATTGATAAAAATATACCCAAGCGACTTAAGACTGCTTTTGTGGTCCAGGGTCACATTTATGAAAGATTGGCTTGTATGTCGGGTATTCCAGCAGTCATCAGCCTGTGCTGAGTCTTTTTTTCATCACCTTTTGTCAAATCACCCCCTTTTCAAAGTCAAAACAGGTGGCTGAAGTTTTAGTGTGAGTGACATTTCTTGTCACAAGGTCAGGGCAGCAGATTAGCAGATTGGATCTAATCTATCCCTAACCAGCCGGCTAATAAGCCGCGTGTGTGTTCTCTGGAGCTGATCGATCCTGTCTCACACCTCTCGCCCGCTCACACTGGCTCTGCCAGGGACACGGACACTAATGGCCACATTTGCTCCAGCCCACCGGTACCGTGTTCCCGCTCATGATTTCCTGACAATTAGCGAGGCGAGTGGACGCACCCTGTTCTCATCTCTGCTGTCGTCCTTTCCACCCTGGACTTCCACTTAACCTGCTCTCTGGGGTGAACGGTAGATGTGCGATATTATGGGGTTTTGATTGCATTCACACGCACATAAACACCTTAATGTCTCTGTTGGGCTCCGTGTGGCAGTGTGGTCATTAGACAGGTGGCAGGGCTAAATGGACAAATAAAACGTTTGCTAACACTTAGCCTTCATTAATAAATCATTATATAAATAATTCTAAACATTATATAATTAAGCAGTGAGTTACAAGAGACGTTATTATGAATTTAGATGTGGCTAAAGGATTTTGCACAACATGCATAGACATCCCAGCAACCACTTCTGACCTAACTATATTTACTATATAGCATGACCTCAAGTGGCTTATTGCTTTTATAAAAATCAAGAACACAAATTTACATTAAAACTGTATTTTATTAAGTCAATTTTACAGTAGTGTCATCCTTCCATTAGAAGATATAGTCCCTGAAATGTTATATTTAGTTCACTCTAGAAAGCTGAAGTTGTTAATTTTTTAAAAAATCAGGCATTCATATGCATTCAAATATTAATATAAATAAAAATATTTAATACTTAAATATAATTTTTTAAAACCTCTGTAGATTATCTGTGGAGTATTATATTATTTAATATTGAATTTGAAAAAAAAATGGACACATTTTTTGTAGCTATATATTTTGAAATATATTTGTATAAATTGAATATTGTAATTATTTTAATACTTTATTAAAGTAATATTTTAATAATTTTATCATTTCACTTAAAAAAAAAAAAAAAAAGTTGGGAAATTTCCCACATTAACAGCACTAGCCAACTTTTTTCACATTTTTTACACAGAAGTTCATGATGCCTTGATATCTCGCACACAAAGAGGGCTGCGTTTCATTTTGAGGTTTTCGGTTGGTCTTTGTTTCAAAGTCAATGCCCCGATTTGGTCCAAAAGTGTAGACATCCAGCCATCAACAGTTGTCCCTCCTGTCCTTTCCTCCTCTCGTCTTCTCCTCGTCTTTCTCCCCCTGTGCAGGCGTGATAACGGAGCTGCCCTGTGCTCTCGGGTCATTAGCCACGGGCCTTCGTAGTTTCATTAACGAGGGAAGGGAGCTCATCATTGGCCTACCTCAACTGACGAGGGTAATTAGTTAAGTAATAATGTGAAGCCATAGTCATGGCTCTTAAATGCCCATTTGATGACAGTCAGATCGGAAACCAGGCTTTCCTTGCCTATTAGCAACACACAGAGATTGCAGGCCTCATCACTGAAACCACACACTGACATAATTACACGCATCACACTCACACACACACGCTCTCTCTTTAGTGCCAGCGCCTAATGAAGGCATGTTGTATTTGGAGAAGTCCTGAGGACCTGAATACTGATTGTGAGTGCTTGTTGGTTTATGTGCTCGTTTTTTTGGAAAAGAGACCGCAGTGTTTGCGTTGCGATGTCTGAAGTTTGTTAGCCTGCTCAAAGCATGAAAATACAGCTTTCTTTTAGCGCATTATTGACATATAAGGTCATTTGAGAGAATGGAGGCATTATCTTTAACAGATATCTGAATTTCCTTTATCTTTAGGTGATGAAATTCGATGATATTTTCTCTTGCCGTTAACATCAAGGTCAACATACTGTCATACAGTCACCTAGCTTGATGTGTTGCATGCTGGGTGGATTAATTAATTTAGAAGAGCTCTGCCAGTTTTTCGAAGGTATTAATTTTTATTTTGGGCTTTGGCAATTAAAATGGACCATAAGATTATGCACATCACATATGTGTCTGGAAGATCTGTAGAGAGCTGATGTGTTAGAACAGCTGGGATAGTGGAAAAGAAATAGACAAATTTAGGCAACATACACCTGCAAGACAAAATCTTGTTGTTGAGTTATATTTTGTTTTATTTCTTTTTTTTGTTTGTTTATTTGTTTGTTGTTGTTGTTTTTTCATTTGTATAATGCACGCTATTCTCTAACTAATGCCAAACTTTATTTATTTAGATCAGGGGTTGTCAAACCTTTTGATGTCAAGGACCGCCAACTATTATGTGCCTTGTCGGCAGAGGCTATTTACACTAGCTCTGCCCACCAACGTGTGATTGGGCTAGTCAACACTACAAAAGACGATCGTATAATAACAGCTCCAGTGGTGTAGATGGTAAAGCATGTGCTGTAGTCATTTTTGACGTGATTGAACCGAGTTCGAATCTGACCTTTTGCCGACCTTTTTTTTTTTCTCCCTTTTCAAATCTCATATCACATTGGAAAGGCATTTATTTTCAATAAAAATGAAGGAAATAATCAAAAAGTTGAAAATAAAGTATCAGGTAGGGGTAGGGTAGGTGTAGGGAGGGCTTATATTGTCCCAATAAGGTGGCATCCATTTAATAATTTGAATTAAAATTATAATTTACACGCCATACGTTATTATTACATACTGTTTTGTAATGTGCTACAATACTGAGGTGCAGATAATTGCCACTATTTGCAATAAGTAGTATAAATAGCAGAAAATCCTGCTAATTTAACACAGTGTAAATAGAATCTATAGCTATTTTCACTTAGTGTAAATAGCATCTATCGCTATGAAAATATGCTATTTGCACTTAGTGTCAATAGCAAAATTATAATAAAATCAATATACAGTGGGTACGGAAAGTATTCAGACCCCCTTAAATGTTTCACTCTTTGTTATATTGCAGCCATTTGCTAAAATCATTTAAGTTAATTTTTTTTCCTCATTAATGTACATACAGCACCCCATATTGACAGAAAAACACAGAATTGTCTCCTTGAGGATTCCCGGACACCAGTTTGAAAACCCATGTTTTAGATCTTTCTATTCATTTAACATTCATACAAGTGTTTTAAATCACATAATTAAAACATGAAAGGGTGCTGAACTTCTGTCTTGTAGTGTGCATTTGCCGTTAGCCAGTCAAACTGAAGCTCCAGAGAAGAGCAGGCAAGCGTCTATAATATAAATGGACAAATAGAGGTTGACATGGTGAGGACAGATTGTCTACTATGCCCTACAAGAGCCTCTCATAGTGCTCATAGTCAATCCAAATAAGCCGTTCATGTGCATTTACCACTATACTAACCCTAGGCTCCGTGTGCACGATGGAGTGTATACATGCACCAGTAATCAGTCTGTCAGACACTACATGCCCTCCCGGTCATCTGTGCTTTCATTGGGCTTAAATAAAGAGCGGCTCTCAGGTGGTTGAGACTTTGTTGACACATTGTGCGCACGACACCGTGTCTTACCATGTCAGTACCGCAAACCCATGGATCCTTCATTCTGGAGCTGTACTTAATTTTAATGCACGTGTTTGCAGTTGGTCTGTCACTCTTGACGCCCACTCTGTGTGTTCTGTCATGAACAGACTTTTAACCATGCATTGTGGAGGAGGGCGAAATGTCAGTCAGCACAGCAGGAAAATTATCAGTAGAAGGCGGCAGGGAGCTGGTTGGGGGGTGATCAGGGGGGAAGTGCCCTGAGTAGAAATGGTTCGATGATGAGGACCAGATTGGAGTGGCAAGACAGTAGGGGAATGATAAGGAAACAAAAAATAAAAAACATTTTTTTGCCCGAAGGTAGTGCACGGCATGCCTTCGCAAACATGTAAACATCAAAAGCGCTCTCTCAAAAAAACTACAGCAGCATTAAGGCAGTACATTACCAACTGAGATGCACAAACACTGTGATTTCACAGGCTGAACAGTGTGTTTGTTTTAGTCCCTTTCATTCTTCTAACAAGAGATATATTATCCTTATGAGAGCTCTGATAGTTTGTCTGCAAGGTGACACAAGCCAGATATGAACAACACTGTTCTTATGCCCTGTGGGCAGGACATTTGTAATAGTCGGACAGTACCTTGATGCAATAAGTGGTCTTATTAGTACTGAAACTACATCTTTTGTGCTCCATCCACAGGTAGAATGTAAGAAGGCCCAGCCGAAGGAAGTGATGTTTCCTCCAGGGACGCGGGGGAGAGCCAGAGGGCTGCCCTACACCATGGACGCCTTTATGCTGGGAATGGGCATGCTGAGTAAGTGTCATCTCAATTTCGTGCTTACAATTATTCATACGTTAACACTGTCAATCACTGTTGTAATCTGATCATTGACTGGGGTGCTAATTTCAAATCAGCATGAATCTGCATTCAGCCCATTTTACTTCTGTAATGCAGCTTAAAAAAAATTATTTTAGCTAACGGGATTTGATTGGATTGTGAAAAGCGGGTATTACATATAGACCAGCACAGGTAGATCTCTATATGACCGGTGATTGTAGAAGAAGGGTTGAAAATTAGAGAGTAAAAAAGTCAAGTTAAGTTCTTACATTTTCATAAAAGATTTCAAAGACAAACATTTTATTCTTTGGAATAATGTGCACCACTGAATCATTGAAAGTATGACCAGGAAAATCTAATATGAAAGTAAATGGGTTCAAATTTGATTTCATGTTGATTTAAAAAATACCTAATGATTGGGTCTTGTTCGCTAACCATGTATCCACGTGTATTTTTTGTGTAAAGAAAATGTAGAAAACTTTTATTTATTCATTGATAAGTTAACAATGTTTTTCTATATGTACAATAAAATAACTCAAACCTCAGGTACACAAAATTATATATGTTATATTGTATAGTACATTATATTTAAATAAATAAGTTAAATGTAAATTATATTTATATAAAAATATTTTAAAATCTAAACATTAACAGTGAGTAATATATATATATCCTCCTGAGACCCAGCTATGGAGTTTTTGCCTCTGTAGTGGACATTATATTTTAGTGAATTTCTCAGAGACCTCACATGTCACAGTTTTAAGTCTGGATGTCCTGTACAGAGCGCATTCAGTGCTTTCCAGAGACACCAAATGACTGGATGTTTCACCGTGACCACTCCCTCTCCTTGGTTTTTAAAAATGGCTAGTACTATTTCAATAATATTTTATAAATAACTAAGAACATATGTCTGAGTTGAATCCATATTATTATACACAATTTTATAGATTTATAATTTTTATATAAAATGTATATTTATTACTGAAAACACTTTTATTAGTGCAACATTTTTTGTGAATTATTAGAAAATTCTGTGTTCACTGGATCTAGATCCAGTTACTCACTGAATGGGATTTTAGAGCAAATGTTGTCTCATGCTGACCTCAGAGACAAATGGTCGTTTCAGAATGATACTCGTAAATATGTGTGTTCACGCTTTAAGCATAGATGCTGGGCTTGATGGCATGGAACAAGTGTATAACTGTAATCTCGGAGAACAAAATGCTAAATCATAATGTTGGAACAGGCAGACAGGGAGAGGCAACAGCCCATTGAAAGAGCTCCTCGGAGAGAGCACTGGGACTGGCGCTCCGATGCTGGCACTGCGCTCGCGTTAACGTCGCCACGCTCTGCTAGCGGCTCTACGACTGCCATGCCAGTTGAAACTCCTCTCCATTTCTGCTGGGAGCCCCGCTTCAGAGTCTTCACGGATGTGACACATGTGTGCTATCACAGAGACAAGCGCTGGAACCCGTCAAACACCAGAGCCATCATCCCGACACCAGCAAGAGCTTGTCTTGACGTTTTTCTGTAGATTTGACGTGTGTCAAGAGGACAGGAAACGTAGAATCAGACAAGAATACCCGCCTCTCATCTCCCCCTCCCAAACTTCAAACCCCCCCCCCCCCCCCCCCCATCGTCTGCTGAAAGTAACTGAAGCAAATAAATCGTTTGATGCCTGGTGCAGAATGCGAATGGCAGCTAATGGGTGAAGCTGCAGGAGAGGTCGTCCTGCCCGTAATTTGACTTGATGAAGCATCCTCGCCGGGCACGCATGAAATATGCTATTGATATTCAGCCAGCTCTGCTTCCAGCCCCACCAAATCCCTGACCGACCCTCACCAGGGCAGGGCTCCACATTATAGTGCTAAATGAAGAGGAAAATGTAAGTAATGTTGAGTTATATTTGTTGAAATCATATAACCTATGATTTCAACAAACTGACCTCAAAGGAGGACGAATTTGTCCGTTCGTTGGTTATTCGGTGTATGCGAGCACACGTTGAGACCTCGCGCCAACGACTGGCGCCCCCTAGCATTTTAGGAGTCTATGATATCATTCGGCTTCACAGTGCCAACAGCGCGATGTCAGCTCAAGTCGACTCGAGTCGAGGTTGATGAAATTATGCCGCAAGTGGGTGTCATGAGCTTATTAGGGTTTAAAGCAGATCAGTGTTGAACAAACAGAAAGGGAGGAAGACGGAGACAGTGGGAGCAGAGAGCCGGTTAAAGGGGGTCGCGCTCACTCGATCGCAACACCATCTTATCTAAATGAAATTGGAAAGCAGGACAGCGAAACATTCCTTTTGGTAATTTGCATACAAAAATCAACAAGGCTCATTATTTAAGGAACCGCAATTCCTTATGTGCCGAAATCTCATTAGAGCCCCGCTCTGAGCAACGGTGTTTACCACACCTAATCAAGCTATTTATCTTTATTGTGCTGGGCCTCATGTATGTTTGCTAAAATTAATACACATCTCAACCAGCGCAAAGTGCAGCTTTACCAGATGGATAATTGATTTTACAGTGAATCGAAACTGTTGAGCCATAAAATGGGCACATTAGCATGCATATTAATAACGCAAATAAGAGGGTGAGGCCGTCGCCACTAGGCCAGATTAAGTGACAGTCTTTATTTACAGCGTTGCCGGGAGACGGAAGGTGTCTGCTGTGGTGATGGCATGGCTTAATGAGTCTTCTCCTCAGGCTCAGGTACCTCTCTTTCTCCCCCTTGCGTTTAGCATTGTCTGGCTCAGTCTCGTCTCCCGCCGAGGGGCCGTGACTACAACATGAAGTCTTGCCACTTGTTATATGACGTCAAAGCTACGGCGGTCTGGTGCTTTTGGAGCTGGTCTCATGGTGTGGCCCTTTGTTGAGCCCACCGCTCGACACTGAGGCTTAGCTCGGTCATTAAACACAGAGGAGAGCCATTTAGGTCTGACAATTGAGCTGAATACTTTTGACGAGGAGGTGGAGGAATGTCTCTGGGAAAAATTGGTACCCTACGTGATTGTTTTTTTGTGTTTAGCTGAGCCAGAAGTGGCATAAAACATGTTTTTGTTCAACTTTTGTTAGACATGTATTCTGACAAATACAGCCTTATTGTGAGCTTTTGTGTGAAAGCACTAGTGAACAGCAGGACATTATTCTGGGTTCAAGTTGAGGGTGTAGCTGTATACTTTAAGACTATTTTCATACTTGTTTATTTGCTTAGAACAAACCTGAGTTTAGACCTAGCAAATAATATATTCTATTCTATATAATATTTAGGGCCAGAAAGGAACTCATTCTTTTTTTCCAGCAAGGATGCATTTATTTTATCAAAAGTGACAGTATAGGCATTTATATTGTTTCTATTTGAAATAAATCTGATACTGAAGACTGGAGTAATGGCTACTGAAAATTCAGCTTTGCTATTACAGGAATAAATCTAATTTTAAAATGTATTAAAATAGAAAAGTAATTTTAAATTGTAATAATATTTCCTAATATTATTATTTATTATATATCCTATTATTATTATTAATTTCCTAATATTTTTGATCAAGTAAATTCAGCCTTGTTGAGCAAAAGATATTTGTATGAACTGTATCGCACAACACCTTTTCAAGCAGACTCGGGTGAATTTAGAAAACTGAAAAGTTGTAGACCTTAAAGCACTGCTGATTTCTCTCTTCTGCGTTTTGTTCCCATAGGTGATGGCCCTACAAGTATGTTAATCACCTACTGTCAACAGAGCCCCATCCCTCTACATTTAAAGTAATCTCTCTAAATGTCACAGGAAAAGCCCATGTTATGTATATTTAGTTTGGGCGTCTGGCATTTGCTCCTCCTTAAGAGTAGAGTACACAGAGCTGCTGTAGTCTCGAGAGAGACGGAGGAGCCCAGATATTAAGGCTTCGCAAACATATGATACAGCACTTGGAAGGAGCGAAGTTAAAGATGGCCACCTTGCTGCAGAACATTTAAGCGTGTAATTTGGAGGCTAGGTTGCATACAAGGTGAAGTTTTTTATGGTGCAGGGTGGATAGAGAGAATGGTATATCCTGAAAAATCGTCATATCCCTTTAAGGAGAATGGGTTCTGCAACATTTTTCTGTATACTTCAGGCAGTAGTGTATTTAATACTTTTATCCCATCCTCCTCCTCATCCTGATTCCCTCAGAATTGAACTTTCCTCAAGAATGGTCTTTGATTTTAAAACCGACTCTGTGGTTTACATAGCATTTACCGCAACCAGCACAAAAGCCTCCTTTCAGAACCAGTCAATAACGACAGAAAACTTCATAAAAGCGAGTTATTTCTTTTAAGCCTCTACTATAGCGCTGACACTCACCAAAGAAACTTTGACAGGATCAATATCTTCACATAGACTACTTCCCACCAGTCTGCCTCTGCAATGTCAAACCGAATTGATCCGAGTTATGTCTAGCCTAACTTGCGGTGGAGTATATTTATTCTCTCCAACACCAACTCACATTTGTGGCTGAGAGCCAAGGATAAGCCACTAGCGATCATTTGGTGCAAGCTCGCACTGTGCACAGCCAATAACTATTAGCTAAATCTTTTAGGTGTTTGGGAGGGAAGAAACAGGACTGGTGGTGAATAACAGACTTTTTGTAGAGTCCTCAAAAAAGAGGATGCCACAATAGAGTCTATATATATATATATATATATATATATTTGTTTTCACGTGATTATAGCAGCCTGCTCCCTCGGGCGTTTGCAGCAACAATATGGCTGATACGTTCGCTTGCGTTGGAAAACGTTTTTTCCTTCTGTTTGAAAGCCGTCCAGATAATTAGTGTTTAGGCTCACACTCTAATAAGCCATTGTGACAGAATAAGAACAATGGGTCTTTGGGCTCTAGCCTGGTAAAGAGGGACACACGGTGGCCCGCCGCTCGATGCTGGCAGAGAGACAACTCGAGCATGTGCGTTGGGTCGCATCCCACTTTTTCTTAACAGCACGAGCAGGATGCGTTCCAGTGTTGTAAACGCTGCTGATGGCGTGTTTTTTTTCCTTGCTCCCAAACAAGATGTATTTCAGATAATAAAATAGTCAAGGGGAAGCCAGCTCACTCGCCCAAGCGTCATCATTAAAAAGTTCTGCCTCAGCAAAGACGGCGAGAGGCGGAAAAAAACAGATTGCGGCCTTAGCGTGCTTTTGCAGTGTTTCGCTCCACTTTCGAATGACTTCTGCAATCGCTCAATCATATTCGTGCCATCCTGTCGGTATTAGCGCGCAGGAGGCCGAGGCTGCGCGGCGCGGAGGGACTTTAATCCGTGATGTCCTGCCACAACTATCAGCCTGCCATTGTCTCGTCCTGTCGTGTCCTTCATGATCGATTAGCCCGGGCTATAAAAGAAGGGTTATCGATCAATGACAGTGGAGAGGTGAGAAAAAAAGGAGGGAGGGAGAGAGAGAGAGATGACAGCCGCAGACATGTCCGTTCCCTCAGCGAGGGGGAAAAGAGGGATGAGCCCCAGGGAATGAAGCGAGATTGTGTCTTGTGATGTTTATGCTGTTCATCACTGCAAAACTGAAGTTGGCTAGCCAGCTAATCTGTTACATTGCAGCCTGGCGGGGAGGGCTGCGGTTATGTGGCGAAAGAGGAGCCGCTTCCACTTGCGTCTCGCTCATATGTGTATTTTAAATGGCATGCTGATTTATTGGTGTGATAGGGAAGCTCTGGGCGGTCTGAGCGGTTTATCACATCCCTGGATTTTCTTCTCTCCCCTCAGGTTATCCAAACATTGTAGCAACGTATGGCCGAGGATACACTGGTTTCGCCCCAAGCTACAGCTACCAATTCCCTGGTAAGTTCCATCTTGTTAAGCTCTGTATGGTGCTTCTCTCTCCTGCTGCTGTCTGGTAATGGCCTCCCTGCTGACCAGCAAACTCACAAACACCAACATGCACCCGTCCCTGTCTCTCGCTACAGCCCCATGCTGAAAACTTTGCCGTGGTGCTTTATACTTAAATACACATTGACATACTCAAACATTATACATCTTGATGTACAAAGACACACACATATTGCCTTGTTCGGCCCCCCGCTGAAGCCCCACATCCACATGCTTGTAGCTTTACAGATAACACCGCCACTCAAGATGCTTTTAAAAACCGTGCGAGCTACAAACGAGCCCGTGGGCATCTCGTTTTCTATTTTTTCACAGATATAATTCATACGTTCAACTATACAATACAATTCAGCAGATCGCCAAAATCTTGGCTCAGGAAGGTTTTTGGCCATCCCGACAAAGACAGGTCTTTTTGTCTGGGATAAATGTGATGCAGCAAAGCAGCTATGTTATTTCACGGCTCAGTTCTCTGAACTGAGCTTTGATAACCCGATGGTCCAGAGCAGAATCAAAACGTGCATAGTATATTTTAGTATGATGTTCTGCTCACTGAATTATCTGGTACTACTTTAATTGCACCGTATGTATTTCTGATACATGTGTGTTTGTTTTTGCATCTCTACTGAAAAAAAAACGATGGTCTAAGCCAGTCTGGGTAGCATGTTTAAGCTGGACTCTGGTCTAGGCCAGATCAAATAAAAAAGTTTAAAAACATACAGTATAAAAAAATACACATTTGTCCACTCACTACACCAGGTCTGCCTAAAAGTAATATGTGTATATTTACTTTTAGGCAGACTTGGTTTAGTGGGTGGACAAATCCATGCTGTTTTATTGTCTTTTTTCAGCAAGCACAGCACTAGTCCATGTAGATGTATCTGCTGTTTGATGCTTTGCATTAATGTAAAAATTATGCATGGAATAATTCTAGAATTATAGGAACTTCATATGAATACGTTCTTCATAAACAGCTCTTGACAATTTCAAAATGCCATTATGTTCATGCAATTGATCCGCAGCTGTAAGTATGTAGCCTCCCTCATCTCTGTGCAATCAAAGTATTTTCAAGAGGGGTTGCAACCTTATTTATGTGCATACATTTTTCATGTTTGTCACTCAGAGGCCCTCACTGGTGATGAAATTCTTCTGTTGACATGGCTGTTAAGCGTAAAGGTGGCTGTTTGACGCATCGAGAACACTTAGTCGTCATCCCCTTTGATGCCAGCGCACAAATAAACCTCAAACAATCCGTACAGGCGTCCCAAACTAACCGTTGAGTGCAGACGGAGTATTCCAGTGGCGACTTCGATAAATAAACAAAGCGGGGTGGGGGTGAGGGAACGAGAGTAATAGATAATGAGGAAGTGTAAATTGGCAGGCGCTTGAGGAAGAGCTGCTGTGACTAAGCCCGGTTAGGGGGATTAAAACATCATTGTGGGCTCACTCTCTTCCGCGAGAAGTCTTAGCCCAGCACCATGTTTGCAACAGTTCTGAGCCTAACAACATAGCAAGTCACCTCAAAAATATATGTGTAGGCCTATATCTAAATGCAAAACTCCCACCTGATGTTAAAAATAACCGGACGAATAAACACATGCAGATCCGCCCATGCCAAAAGCCTCATAACTCTAGCTGAATAGCAATCGAGTGTATCGAATGCATATTTTTAGTGATATTGACCCTGGATATAGAGCTGAAGGTCTTGCTGGCATATGACTCACTGGAAAATAGGCTAAAAAACCGCTCGACTTAAACTGCAGTTCTAGTGCAAAAAGGGCCTTTTTTCTCCGCTCATTTAATCCCCTGGCTTTTCTTGTAAAATGATCTGCCCAGTGCCACTCCAAAAGGGTCCCCTCGCGCTTCCATTTCACATGTTGTCAATGACCTTGGTGTTGAACATATAGGGTGAAAAAGCTTTTTTTCCAGACTGCTCGTAGCACCTGGGATTTACTATAAGCTCGGCTGAAGTGAAGGTTAAAAATTGACTGTTGAAAAGAGAGAAGGTAATTTTTTTTCAAGGCACTTCTTGTAATCCGCACAGGTGACTGGATTTGTAACAGGTCTCAGGGGATGGCACGCGCGTGTTTTCTCCGAGTCCGTGCATGTATGCAAGTTACTGTGGCGATTTTTAATGTAAACAAAAACTATAAATTGCTTATCAATGGCACAAAGCCGTGTAATGCTACAGTATGTGCGTATGATCGATATACAGTGTTTGTACATTTCTAGTCCTCCTCGGGGAACAGCTTTGATCACGGATAGATTTAGTATTTTCTTTGCCCCAAAGACGTACAGGCTAAAACAACCAATGGTGCTATGGCAGAGTTTCTGAGCAAGTGTTGCTGCTATTGTCATTTTCATACTAACATGTCCTCTGGTAGATAAGATAAGAAACAGCCGACAGGATCAGGCCACCTTCACTGTTATCTCCCCCATCGCCAGGACACACACGCACACACATTGTTCTTCTCATTTTTATGAGACCGAGAAGGGTGTTTCAGAGGCTATAAATCCACGAGAAACGCGTCTAAAGCTCGGTGTCTCTCCAGCAAGCCTGTGGATCCATCGGGCTTTCCCCAAGCTGTGAGAGAAGATCTTCTCATTTTGGCATAAGTCTGTAGATTAAGGCTGCATTGATCCAGAGGAGCGCAAGTAGAGGTGGTCTTAAGAAAGATAATTTTACAGTGCGACCCTGTTGTTGTTTTGCGGTTTGTTTGTTTTTTATTCCATTTGATCTCACCCCACGTTGGGTGCCGACCGCTTTTGGTTTTCCGAGCAGTGAATCATCTCTCCTCATCTCCGTTCCGCCGCGATTTCTGGCATTTGACGTGGCTGGTGCTGATGAAAGCTGAAGGATGTTTCAACATCAAGGTCGCCGCCCCTCTCAGCCCAGTCTGAACGAACAGCGTGTTAGAACACCATCCTTTAGCTCTCATTCGTCCATTTATCCTTCTGTTCTCCTCAGAAGGAAGAACAGGGAGAGCTGGAATTGATGCTTCACTTTTGATTAGGGCCCAATCAGTTATGCAAACACGGAGGCTGTCAGGCACAGGGCCCTTCTCCATTCTCCACGGCGCAGCCCTCTGCCGGCCCCGACGTACAGATAACACGACCGGGCTCGCAGGATATTGAAGTGCAAACAAACAAATAAAGATGCTGCTTTGGCTGACCAGAGATGCTCTTTGTGTGGGAGGCGAGAGAGACGGAGAAGGAGAGGAAATTAGGAGATGACAGAAAGAAGGCGCGAGTGGCACTTGCTGAGGGAAGGTATGATATGAGCCCTGCCCCGCTGCGCTTGGCAGCACCTACAGAATTAAGGAAAGCGGCACAATTTCTTCTCTTTGACCCATTGTGAGGAGAGGATCATAAAAAGAGGAGAAAAAGAGAGAGAGAGAGAGAGAGCAGATGAATAGGCAACAGTGAAGTCTCCTGCAGCTGCGCTACCCCATTCAGCTCTTCACCCAAATTAGCTCTAATTGAAAAGGCTGCTTATTAACTCAGTAGGCATGAGGCAAACACATTCACCATGTTACATGCTCAAAATGGGGACCGCTGAGCTGGACACACACACGCGCTTCTTAAAAACGTATCCCGCCGCTTCATTTGGGGCTAATTCTTGACTGACGTGGGCTGCGGTGGGCAGATGTTGCGTGTGTTTACGGAGTGCACAATGGCAGAGGTCATTTTGGAGGTCGTCTCGTAGCGATAGATTAGACAGCCTGTCTCATGCGCCCAGCCTGCAGTAATCACGTTGATGACTCATCTGCTGTTCCCCACAGTCAGGCTGAATCCCTGTCATATCCCGCTCTGCACTGCAGAGGCGGCTTAACCAGTACGGGTTTAATTATCAGCTTGTATCAGATCCACAACTCAGACACTGCTCTGAATGGAGCAGCTTCTTTTGCCTTTAGGGAAGCGCTGCAAAATGTCACATGACAACACAATCACAGCGTATTTGATTTTTAATATACAGTTAAGTGAAGAGGGAACCGGTCAAATTTCACTGTGGACAGGCAGTTTCACTACTCCTGGAGCTCATTGTTTGACATGGTTAATTAAGAGATTATAAAGCAAAAGATGATCAAGCTACAGATGCAGATTTACAGATACGGTGTTTTTGTTCCGACTTAATCTTTCAATTGACAAGCTACATTTTGTTTCTATTTCTTGGGTGTCTAAAATCCTGCTTTACACAGTTTTAGTTTTATTTTATTTTATTTTTGTAATTCATTACATGGTATTGTGTTTTTATTTTGGATATTTTGTCATTTATTTTTTATTATTTTATTTATCAATAAATTGTTATTTATATATACTTTGTTGTGATATATTGTGATTTTTATTTATTTTTTGTTATTTGCAGGAAACACCAGTCAAACTTTGCTTTCTAGATCATTTTTATAAACTTTATAAAAGATTTAGATTACATTTTGAAAATATCTGAAGAATTAAAGAATAATTCAAAATCTAATTGTCAGCAATGATGCAGTTCTTGGCTTGCCTGCTTCAGCTAATAGCCACTTTCTGAAATGTCAGCTGGGGCCACTTCTAGCCATCTCCCATTCCTCTGGCCAGATCATTTTTGCACTTGAGCACTGCTCTTATGCTCCCTTATGAGCGCTAGTGAATTCTGAAATCTGCAGCAGAGTCTTTAAAATGTATATGATTAGATGTACATTACTACACAATTAGATTAGCATCAGCCCCCTGCCATTTCTGCCTGCCATACAACCACAGATCAGCCCCCTCTTTCACACTCATCAATGAGACATCCAATGCCCTCAGATGAGCTTCTTAAAGAATCTGGCCTGATGAGAGGGTGACTTTGCCTTCCTCTGCTGGATTAATCCCTGTGCCCCTCTACCAGAGAAATAGTATTTGTCTGGCCAATAATTGCCCTCATCAAGGAGGAAGCAGACTGCAAAGTAGGGCGTCAGGCAGCCTGTAGAGGAGAC